TTCCATATTGGGAAAACATATTCCTAGACTTCTGATAGTATAGAAGCAGAATAGGATACTTGGCCATTCTGTTTCAGACATGATATTCAATCAAAAAACTAAATTTTTAGATTTTTAAATTAAAATTGTTTGACATATTTATATGTCAAAAAATTTTGGGCATAATACTGGATCTTGGATTGCATTAAAATTTTGCTCATTGTCTGGCTATGACCTAAAGTCAAACATCATAATAAAATTTTTAGTTTATTAGGACTTTCATGAGTTACTAAGATCATTAAAGGAGTGTGGATTGCATATGTTTGTGGGTTGGTTTTACAGTTTCAACATGTAGTTTTAACTGATGTCATTGATAAACTGTCAACCACTTTCATCCATATCGACATGTAACACTTTTATCTATATCGAGATACTTTTTTGTATATATTTGCTCAATGTCTTCCTAGCATTTGACTTAAATATTATTTTCTGGGGATGCTTATAGGAATCAAATAGAAGCTTCTTGTGTTTCACTTTTGGTGGGTTTAGATGAGTACCAGAGGTGCACCCTGCTATCGAAACAGCAAAAACTTAAGCAAGAATAAGTAACTTCTGAACCCCACGTTAGTACTATCCAAATTATTTATCCAGTTAATTATTTATTTGGACAGGCTTCTTGTATGTCAATAGGTCAATACTGCAAAAAACTCTTTTCTATAAATTTATTGCACATGAAACCGCAACGAATAGGCTCAAGGATATTCTGCTTTGTTATAAAGTCTGCCACACCTTTTTTTTAATTGTAAAGAAAAAGGAAAAGAAATGCTGCTTTTGTACTACAAGACTCTCTACAAAAGATATTTACAATTAATTAGCTACACTCCCAGGGGGGTACTCCGCCAGAATTTGGGTAGGGGTGTTTCGCTGGGATTCTGAAAGGGGTACCCTGTTTATGACAAAAAAACCCAAATTTGTAGACCCTGTTCATGACAAGAGATATAATTAATTGCACTGAGTTCCTGTTTCAATTATCATGTCATCTCGCGTATCGTTTTTTTACAACCATAATAACCAGTTTCAATCAATACGAAAGTAGAATCCCTGAATATGACAGGAAACTCAGGAAGAACTTGGAACTTGAGTGAAATTGCATACCCTGTTTATGACAAAAAGCTCGAAAAACCATACCCTGTTCAGCGGATCATCCCCGTATAGTCCATATATGGGAGTACCCCCCTCGGGGCTACACTGTACATGTTACCTTGAATAAATCTTTCTCTATAGCAGAGTTAATATGGCGGGCTTTACACTTGTGGCCAAAACTACCTTTACCAATGATACCAATTACACATACTTTATCGTCAGCAAAGCTAAAGGCAGAAAATAAAACGCAAAATCAATCATCAGAAAATACATTTTATACAAAGGGACACAACAATTTGTGTGGGTTTTAGGGCCAAAAGTATAAGTTTTATTATGAGACTAACAAAACAAAATAGAAGCTAAGCATCTATGTTAGTTATTTAATTGTTTATCGTTGAGAAATCGTTTACCTTTCAGTGGAATTTATCAGCGTTTGGAAAAATTCAAGACTTGCTTTAGAAACTGCTCTGTCCGCCATGTTTTTCCTGTTGTTATCACGGGGGTCCTGTGGTTTATACAGGTAGCCCAAACCCAAAAACAAAATTCTCTTCTTTTGGCAAACTTTCGAAAATATTTTAGCTTTTTTAGAAGACAACAGCAACAAAAACAAAAATAAAAAATAGGGCAAATGAAATAATAYAGAAAAGAAGAAGGAAAAGAAAAGAAAAGAAAAAATCAAATGAAGTAGAAAGAAATGAAATTGGAATTGTAAATTTGCAAAGAATAATGGGAAGAAACTGAAAGAAGCTGGAAGAAAGAATGAACGAAAGAAATAAAGAGAAAAAAGAAAGCGAGAATTCGTGAGAAGGCGACTGGGAAAGCTTTTAAACAGCTGGTTGTGAGAAGCCTGAGTCTAGTACATGCTGGTCCCATATTCCACCTCATGTAAGAGGTCTTACATCATTCTTGCTGCACGTGAACCATTTTCCAACATGGCGGACAAGTTTCAAGAATTTGCAGGAAGACTTGGTAAAGCTCCACGAGGCGTAGGGACAGGCTTTAAATTCCTGGCCGCTGCTGCTTTAGCTGCCTATGGAATCAAAGAATCCATTTTCACAGGTAAARTTGAGATCAAACTCTAAATCTTGTTTCAAAATTGGAGATTTGATTTTGGTGTATGACATTCTCTTCGAACATTGCATAAGATTGATATTATTATCCGTAATTGTACCTCTACTCTTCTTGTAATTTTAATCGTCCTATGTTTTACAATAAGTATTTGTGTGCGAAGAATTCCATGTAGAATTTTTACACGACTTTAACGAACACAGTACCCCTTATAGTCTATTCAGCTTATATCCCACTAGATATCAGTTTGACAATTCGCTTATATTCTCTTGGGTAATAGAACATTTTAATTTAAAGAAATAAAGCTGGAAAAGTTTGATAATTGTATTAAATCATGCGCATTGGTCATGACCTACACTTCACTTTAGCTACACCAGTGCAGAGCACTCCATGGGACAGCTGGTGATGGGGATGTGGATTTTGTTCAGTATCATAAAATCCTACTAGACCTTAGTAAACAAACTGAAATTCGTTAATTGTGTTTATTGCATTTTCTAGTTGATGGTGGTCATCGTGCTATCATTTTTAGCAGAATAGGAGGGATACAGGACACTATCTACACGGAGGGGCTGCATTTCAGGTGATTATGGGGATAGTGGAGAGAATCAAATGATGATGATGGTGATGTTAGTGATTGTGTTGGTGGAGGTGATGATGGAAGTTTAACATCATGATTATGATAGTGATAATAGATAATTATTTTATAACTAGGATTCCATGGTTTCAATATCCCATTATTTACGATATCCGATCAAGGCCAAGAAAGATCGTATCCCCAACAGGAAGCAAAGGTATTTTTACTCTGATTGACTCTATTYACTGAGTGAATACCATTGACAATCACTTCTTAACAGTGAATGAAAATTGTTAATCACCTATGTGCTTTCTTATTTTTTGTTCAGACTTGCAAATGGTCAACATCGGCCTGCGTGTTCTAGCCCGTCCAGAAGCAAGCAAGCTTCCACCTTTGTATCAAAGGCTTGGTCTTGATTACGATGAAAGAGTTTTGCCTTCCATTATGAACGAGGTAAGATAAAATATCCTTGTGTTAAGTGGTTGAGAAGTTCTCTATGATATGTGCTTTATGCATCTCTTGACATTCTCTCTTCCATGTCTTTAAGTTGTACATCTCTTGTGCATTATTTCAGGTGTTGAAAAGTGTTGTAGCTCAGTTTAATGCTTCTCAACTGATCACCATGCGTCAACAGGTAAGGAACAGTTTTTGTGTAGCATGGGTGGCGTTAATGACTAACACATCATCTTTCACCGATGTGAGTCCACTGGGTCGGGTCGCTGGTTYGAGCCCTGCGGTCCCGCATGTGAATTGAGTTTGGGTATGAGGGTTTTCTTCGGGTTCTCCAGTTCCCACCCTCTGTTAAAATCAACCTGTGAGTTGAGCGTTGTATGCATAGAATATTGAATGTAGTGGTAGCGAAAAGTGTCCCCAATTAGTGCAAAAGCACTAGAATGACTACAGTAGACACTTAAATAAAAGTGATTTATTTATAAGATTTAAGCAGTTTTTGTCTTCCAAATAAAATAAAGGTATCTGGAGTTTTGACTTGTGCCAAAAGACATTACTCTACTCAGATGTTTGTAAATTTGCTGGAAAGAAACCAAAGCCTCTAATAATATACTGTGTTGATGAAAAGGTAAATTATACACCGTGAATTATATACCTTCCTTGCTMTTCCTTGCTCTTTTACTCCGACGAATCACTAGCGTCCGAAACTTCAGTAAGTTTTTTTCATCTTTTCATGGTGTATAATTTACCCTTCGATCATTACTGTTTTATTAGAAACACCGATGCAGCTCACACTAGTTTTTAGCTAGTTATATCTTAATATACTGTGTGATACTTAGAGTTGCAAAATTTGTGTTTTAGGTCAGTTTGCTGATAAGAAGACAACTAGTAGAAAGAGGAAAAGACTTCCATATCATCTTGGATGATGTTTCCATTGTAAGTTGAAAATTCTTACCCTAGTGTTGCTCACCCCTCCCTCCTTAAATTTAGAAAGCCTGACAGCGAGGCATTGTTTTTGTTACAGACTGATTTAAGTTTTGGTAAAGAGTATGAGAGAGCCATTGAATCAAAACAAGTTGGTAAGTACAAGAAACATTTTTATGTTACATGATATATTTTGAAGTCCTTGACTAGTTCTAGCAGTTTTCACTATAATGCAAACTTGGTAGCTGCAAGCTGCACCCTCAAATAATGTTTGAAATACGAGTTGCTGTATTCTATTGGGGTTCAAAATCCTAGTGGAATTTCAAATGCTGAGGCATAGCCGATGAGGATTTTGAAACCCAAATAGAATACAGTGATGAGTATTTGACACGACATCTTATACTCTTTTTGTTATGTTTGTTTTTATTTCAAAGTACTAGAACTTTGAAATGGGTGCGGTCGTATTTGATGGGGGTTTCAAACTACTTCACGTGGTACAAATATGAAACCCTGGTTGGTCGATGAGTTTATGAGTTATTATTTAGTTTATTGCTTCTGTCAATTAAATGTATCCAGTCATTACCTTTGGTATTTTTGACTAGTGTCAATGAAAAACCAAATTCCAATGGGAAACTTCCGACAACTGAGTTCCCATGACAATACTGAACTTACTATTAATGAAATTTTCATTTATTTCTTGTTCTTTAGCTCAACAAGAGGCTCAGAGAGCCCAGTTTGCTGTAGAGAAAGCAARACAAGAGAGACAACAGAAGATTGTACAGGCAGAGGGAGAAGCACAAGCTGCCAAACTGATATCCTTTACTTACTTACTGTACATTGTAGCAACATTATATCWTTTTGAGGATTGTTTTCTTTTGCCCTCTCCTGATAGAAATTTTTCTATTGGAGTGGATAAGAAAGATGTTCMCTCAAATCATGAGAAATTCCTTTTAAGTCAGTTCTAAATTTATTTTGAATGGGAATATTTTTCAAGGAGAGGGAGGGGGGTTGTGATGGGATGTTGTGGTGGTAGTCCACACCTGAGTTGTCTGATGCTGTTTCCTCTTTATCAAATTTACTCTGTATTTTGTATTGAAAGGAGAAGCTTATAGACCAATTAATGCAAAACTGATTTTTTAAAAGTTTGACTTCAATTTTTCCTTGACATTATTAACCTTGGAGAGGCTTTAAAGGACAATCCTGGATATCTCAGACTAAGGAAAATCCGTGCTGCACAAAAAATTGCTAGAACGGTAAATATATTACTCTACAATAATGACTACCTTTTGTTGACGGATAATCTCAACTGCAATAGGCCTTTTTTGAGTTTGAAAAACAGGATGCATTCTGGTCTAGCTTGGGTATAAGCARCACCATATAAGGCAKRATGAAAAATATATATCGTATTGAAGCWAGACCACRATGCACYATCTCAGAGGGGTTCTCTGTCATTGATCTTTTATCATTGCAGATAATCTTACATCTTTTTTTCCTATATTTAGATTTCGGCATCTGCAAACCCAGTCTACTTGGATGCTAATGCATTAATGCTCAACCTCAGGCTAAAAGATGAATTTGATGAGTAAGTTGACATATTATAATAAGTATTGTTTTCAGGAAATAATCCAATTTCTCAATGGACTTGCCTTCTTTGTCAATACCATCTAATAATAAATCTTGATAGTTTACAAGCTCACAGTCCATACTAATAGAATCTTACATTTTATATCTCCACAGCTCTATTTTCTCCAAGAAAAACGATGACTAAATAAGGCTGCCTGACATGATATTTGAATTTATTTTGCAAGAAAAAAAATGTAATCAAAATCTGGTTACAGTCTTAGGGAAAGTAACATAGAGAAAAACAGTTCTTGTTCCAAAAAAATGGAAATTTATTCAGTAAATGATTAGGTTTTCATAGCATTACTACTTTGAATCCTGTGTAAAGGAAAATGGTTTGTTTGTCAAATAAAATCACACTCTAACTTTATTGGTTATATATTGATTTAATAGATACTCTTATGCATGGTAATGCGAAGTTTTTCCATTACAGACTACATGTCATTTTCTAGAGTGTCATTTCTTTGTTTAACAGTTGCATGCAAGAAGACACATAAAGGATACAACTCAAACTAAGAATCTTATTTTCAAGAGAATGGCATGTGGTCTGTAATGAAAAAAACACTGTACCACAACAAATTATTATAACGTGTATTGTCTATTATTGCAATAKTCCCCTTCACAGTTCCAGGTGCCATCTTGAAAGGTAGCTGCGCCTTTGCATCRAAGCAAGACAGACAGTGAGCTTACAGTGATAGAGACAAGTGAATAATATTGTTCAAGGTGTTAAAAAGGTCTCTATCACTGCAAGCTCACCGTTTGTCTTGCTTCGATGCAAAGCCACAGCTACCTTTCAAGATGGCACAGGGAAATATGAAGGGACTATTTTCATACAAGTTAGAATTGTCAAATCTAGGCAGACTTTTTTATCCTGCAATTTAGGGAAAAGTGGAATGGAGTCTGTCTTCTAGATCAATTACTAATGTACAACCTACAAATATTTAAAACCACAACTTCTTAAAAGACGATGAAGTAACCAAGTCTGTCCTGCAGACTTAAAAGTTATGTAATGTTCTAACAATAAAAGTAAAAATATAGCCCTACTACCACCCCCATGGAAAAATAGTAGTCTCTCCATACAGGCTCTCCACGCTCAAAATRCCCTTCCTATTCTTTCTGTTAGTGTTCGTCCTTACTCTGACACACTTCTACTCAACACACTTAAATTCTTCAAAATTCTTGTAATCCAACTACAAAAAGGTCCTTTTAGAATACCKGTCATTTTGATTTCAATGCAAGTATTATCATCAGGTTAAACAAGCAGAACTTGTGCTACAGTTGTCCCAACACTACTGCGTCTTGTACTCATAGGAACAACTGCAACCCACTTGTTGGTCTCTGGATCATATTTTTCGATACTGTTCAAGCTAGAACTGCCATCATTGCCACCAACTGCAAATAACAGTTTGTTTAATACAGCTAAGTCATGGGTGCTTCGACGTACACCCATTGGCGCTAACRACATCCAGGTGTGGGTTGTTGGATCGTATCTTTCCATTGTATTCAAGCAGGATGCACCATCATTTCCACCTGGTGTTAGAAATRATAATTATTGTTAAGTATTGTTAAAATCTAATAGTGCTACAAACTTGAGTCCTGAATATCTCGGGTAGACACGTCTCCACCCCAGTGACCCCCATTGAATCCTAGTAAATCATCAAGTAATCTCAACCTTGTTTTAAGAGGGCACTTTTTGCCTAGTGGCTAACAAATCCGCAACCCTCATTCCATGATTGAATTGGAATTTAGAAGTCGACTTTTGCGGAGGGAGGAAAACTGGGGAACACCGATAAATCCCCAAGCAATTTTATTGAAATCYGTTGGTGAATTTGGGGATCAAACCCATGAACACAGCAGTGAGGGACAGCAAGTTTAAGGCATGCAGTAGCAGTATGCAACAAATAGTACATGCTTGCTGATGACTTATACTGTACTAACCCACGACATAGAGGAAGTCATTGAGAACAGCCACTCCAGCACTGCTCCGTCTACTAGACATGTTAGCAACTGGCTTCCATTTGTTTGTTAAAGGGTCAAAACACTCTACCGTGTTCAAGTGWGCACTGCCGTCATAACCACCAACTGCGTAAATAATACCTCGAACAACACCAACGCGAACATACCGCCTGTGAAGAACATGTCAATTATTATAAATCTGCATATTATGATTACTATCCTGGCCATTCCCTTATGACTGCCCTGATGACCGCCATCCGGCCAGTTGACTCGGSTGCTTGAGCATAGGACTTTAGTGTGGGACTGGCTGTGGTTCGAGTCSCAGCTGGACCAACACTCGAGGTCTTAAAATAACTGAGTTCAGAGGTGCTGCCTTTGTAATACAAATGGTAAGACTATAATGGCTTAGATGACCACATAAAATGGCAGTCCTTTCTCTCCACACTACCTTCACCTTACATCGGAGAAACGTAAAAGAACCATTGAGGACATGGCAGTGATCACCCTCAGTGTCTGGCCTTTACTAATGATTTATTAATGGATTGATTGTGGGATGGGAATTGGGGTATTAAGAGGTGGGAAATTGGTACTTAACGGGGCCCTGTATCCTGTTATGCAGCATCAGCTTGTGGGCAAAATCTCAAATAGTAATGAGACAGATTATTTGCCAATTATACCTTTCTCCCAATCCCCACTCAATGTCTCTTTTCTCTTTCCACTCTGACATAAGTTATGTGTTTCCACAGGCTTAACAGACTAGGGATCTGTGAGTCTGGATAAGATTCCTGTGGTTTGATGTTCCTTGAACTTTATGAATTTACATCAAGGTAAATTCAAGTAAATTTAAAAACTTCAACAAACCAAACCATAGGGATCCCATCCTAACCCACTCATACTAAGTCTTAGTCTGATAAGCTTGTGGTATTTTYTTATATTGTTGGTGTAAAATTGCTCCCTCCCACTTAGGTGTATACACAAAGTGAGCCCCAAGAGACAAGATAACTTTGCCACCTACAAGTATATAATGACCTAATAATTATTTTATAATTATTAATGCAGCATTGATGTGTCTACCTTCGTACGCTCATGGCAGCTACTGAAGTCCACTGATCCGTCAGAGGGTCATACCTTTCTGTACTGTTAAGACATGATGCCCCATCATACCCCCCTATAGCATATATTAGACCATTGACAACAGCAACTCCAAGACAACTGCGTCGAGTACCCATCGGTGTCACTGGTGACCATTGGTTCTCTTGGGGGAAGTAGCACTCGACTGTTGCAAGGTCATTACACCCATCATACCCTCCTACTGCATATACTCTACTGTCTATAACACCTATTCCAACCCTAGATCGTTTTGTCGACATGGGTGCAATCATGCACCATCTCTCCATCCGAGGATCATAACACTCACATTCACTGTGGATTGCAAACAAGCTACCTCCTCCAATTGCAAACAGGATTGGCACTTGTCCTTGAGGGTTGCGCGGCTTTGTCCTTGGACTTTGTAACATATTTCTTTTTTCTGGTAATAAGTGGTATTTCATTGCTTCTATTAGAAGGTCCTTACAGTCCTGATTAAATCTTATAATATCTTCTGTTTCTACTCTTGTCATTAGGCATTCTCTTGATAGTAAAGCTAGTCTAATGTGAGGCAACAGTTGATGTATTAAGCTCTTTCTATGATCTTTATCGTGATTAACCCATGTAATAACTGCATTGTATACTTGCTCCTCGCTTTTAACATTGATATCATCACTCGAGATCAGCTCAAATACTTGGTTTACATCCAAGAGTAAAAACTCTTCAGTCTGACAAACATCAACAAAATGGTTCAGAGCAAATCTGTGAGAGGAATCCAACAACTCTTTACAAACATGAGCATCTGCGAAAGAGCGAATCCCAAGACAGTTTGAAGGATGAAGTTGATTCTTAAGAAACTCACAGCAGGCTTCTCTAACGCTATTCAGCTGAAGAAGACAAGAAGCAGGAAGAAGAGACTGAACGTTCTCTTCAGTAACCGTAATTCTGGCTGTGTAAGCAAACTCAACCATCATCTCCATAGCATCTGGATCGACTCCTTGTAAAGTGACTTCCCCTTGTCGGCTCTCAAGAAGTTCACTAGTAAACATAGCGTGAAAATAAGGGCAACACGAAGCCAGGACAAGCCTATGGGCAGCAATCCTTCGCTCTCCAACAACAAGAAGGACGTCACAAAGTTCAGAGTTGACTTTCATTCTCTTCATCGCTTTGAACGCATCTTCAGTGTGTGTGGACGAGAAATGAGATATAAAATCCACTTGATTGTCTTGTTTGAGGGTCTGGCGGAGATTTTCCATGATGAATTGTTGAATAAATCCCTAAAAATTCTTGATGTCTGTTGTAATCATATAGCTTATGTTTATCAACAACTCAATTATTTTTGTTGAATGTAAAGCTTTTGAGCGGCAGTCACGGAATTAAACCTCCAATTAAGTAACATGGACTACGAAATAAGGCCTATATAGCCTTTATATTCAAGTTTGTGATGATATTTTTGCTTTAAAAAATAAATGTTTTAGTCAAATATTTTGTCCTGGTTTCAGTGCTAGTCCCAAGTTACTACCGGTTGGAGGAGGGAAACTAGTGACGAGTGTACTTTAATTTTCCACAGGGAGACCAGAACTTAAAGAACTGATCTTATTTTATTTATTTTTTGTTCGTTTTTCTATTTCAATGAAAGCAAAGAAAGTACGAGGCTGCCTCATTAGCTGTCCTCTCACTATCAAGCAGACCGCAGACCGGCGAGAAAAGAAAGGCTACATAGTTAAGCGAGTAAAACTGGAATTTTACTTTACTTTCTCTTCAGCCCACGGCTGTTTCAATTACGACATTAGGTTCCAGGCGCGCGCGCGGCCAAATCGCGTTGCTAAGCTGCTTCTCTTCCTTGACAACGAAAATGGCGGCAATTTTGAAACTTTGTTTTCCTCATTCAGCAAAATTAAAACCGGTTTAAAAAACCTTTTCTTTCAAGTTAAGATTCCAAACACGAAATACAGGTAAGTT